GGAGGGACGGGTAAAGTGCACTACCCACTGAGCCACCCACGTGACAGGGAGAACCTGCAAACGCCACGCTCACAGACAGCATGCCGATCCCCAGCCCTGGAGGGAGGGGTAAAGTGCACTACCCACTGACCCACCCACGTGACAGGGAGAACCTGCAAACGCCACGCTCACAGACAGCATGCCGATCCCCAGCCCTGGAGGGACGGGTAAAGTGCACTATCCACTGAGCCACCCACATGCATGTATGTGCTCAGTCATTAATACCCAAGTCTGACAGATTTTGCGTTACCATTTTTGTACTACAGAACACTCTTCTATCAAGTATGGCTATGAAGCTACAGTAGTTCATTTAAAATGTACATTAATATTTCAGTCTGTATTTATTGCCATTCTAAAGGTATCCATGGCACTACTTAACATGTACTGTAACATATGTGCAATATTACACAAAAAAATAAGTTTTTTTTTTTCCTTCAGTTCTTTTGTACCATGTGTTGATGCTTACCTCCACTTTTTGCTAATGACTACTGTGGATGAATAAGTCATCACAGGCCATGGTGTACAATGAGCCAAGCCTTACAGACATCGCCTTTTGTGTGCGTTAAGCCGCACCCTACGGTTATCAAAATATGCAGCAGATTTCCAACAACCGGTAACTTGAGAATACACTTTTCCATAATATTCCCACAGCTTTTGCTCAATTCAACATATTGGTGTCTCCCCTTACCGGAGTGCAATTCAGTGGGTTTTAGTGTCACAAAATCCCCATTATGGACACCTTATGGACTTTGGGCAATCTCACACAATCTCAGCCCTTTCCACCTGTCCACAACGCATTGAAAATCTCGCCCAACCGGTTACGCCTGTACAGAGCTACATTGCGAAAGGAAGGGAAACAAAGATATTTGTATTCCTGATACCAAGTGTATGTATATGTGTTATTTAACCTATTGGAACGTAAAGCTTTGACGTGATTTTGTGTTTGATCGCAATCCGGTATCCATTTATGTTAACACAAAGCAGGACTTATTCTCCAGGAACATAACGCTGGCGATCAGAAGCAAACAACAGATCGCCTTATGACACCATCTTATATACGGGCGCGGTGTGCGGAAAGATCTGATTATCTGATCATCTCCAGCAGAAGCGAAGCGCCAGTGAGCTTAGAGCCCAATTCAACCGAGGACAACTTTTAAGCGTGTCGTCTGTCTTAACTTCTTTCTTGGTGTAATTATCGCGGAGCATACGAGTCTTGCTTCATTTTAATCTATTGACTCAGTAACTTCAGGGGTGTGTCAGTCGAAGAAAGTTTAAAAACGGAATGCAATAGTGACATTGAACATCTTGCGGTCCTGCTATCAGCTCGTTTATTCTGGATAAACAGGCTTCATTTCTTAATACTGGAACAACAGTTCAGGGAAACTTTGACGATTTGGGAAGGATCAGGAAAAAGGACTACGGCCATGGAACAAGTTAAAGAGGGGGGAGCTTGACGGTGAATACAGTAGTCCTTATTTTCTTTTTCTTTCTTACTGTACCATGGACAGTGTCAAACTGCACCGGCCACTTTTTGTATGTTTTAGGGCTACATCTGAAATAATTCGACTTTAAATTCGTACCGAATTCGAATTTAGGCTACAGAATCATACTTCGAGAAACGTATCATATATTTTCAACGTCGAATACAGACCAAAAAACGTCGTTGTACTTTTTAAAGCTAGGCTACATAATATTACTTCTTTAATGAGCAGCGAATAAATGTACACGGAGCCTGAAGAGTGAAGGTGGTAGAAACATGCTAACGTAGCAGAAGGAATTGTCGGATTTTCGGGCAGAAGTGATTGTCGGCCATGGCGTGCTGCTGGCGGTGGTGCCACCGGACCTGCACATGCTGCCTGTCCGAGGAGGAGAGGAAGAGCATTGCGGTGGACAGGGAGATCAAGAAGATCCTCAGGCAGCATAAGAAGAAGGAGCGCAAGGAAATCAAAATTCTCCTTCTCGGTGAGTGTCCGCCTTATGTCGGAAAGTTACTATTTACCTACTATTCACCATAAAGTAAACATGTTTTGTGAGTGGTTAACAGACCGATACAATATTACTCTCCAAAAGGTGCTGAGTTTAAATAAAGATTTCTCAGTTTTTCCAAGGTGGCTAAAAGCTTTAGACTGCTAAGCGATTAGCTGTTACGTTTTCCTCGTTATTAAATCACTATTAGTCTGGCTCAGTTGATCCTACTGCACTTTCCCACATTGCAGAATATTCTAATATCCGTATTTATCAAAAATATCAAATACAATTTCCCTTGCATGTTATAGATGATATTGATAAACAACCCCAAGTGTGAGCAAAATGCAGCAATTATTAGTGATTAAATCTATAAATTGACGTTAACATATTACGTAAAAATATGAAAAAAGTAGTGATTTTAGACAAGTTCTATAATTCATCCAGTGCCCGAATTTTTCTTTCACGTGACACAATGGGATTGAAACCGCACCCTATTCTATACCTATAGAGTTCATTGAAATCAATCACAAATATTTAACTTAGTTCCCATCAACAGATTAGGCTGTGTTTGATAAACGTAAATGTATATAATATATAGGCTATAGCGACATAATCTGGTAGCACTGGTGTTTTTCTTATCAGTGGCTGGTCTGTCACTGTGGAATGTGCTGTAGGGCATTTAGAATAGTCCTTTCTAAGTTTGTAACAAATACTGCTGCTGCTTGAAAAGACTCGTTTTAATGTCATATAAAGTTCTATACCCTATATACAGGGGGTGGACAAAATAATTGAAACACCACATGAAAAAGGCCTTTAATTTTGAACTAACTAAATCGCAGTTACATACGATGATGAGTCATATTAAGCTGACAACCAAATAGCAGTACTGTATGTATCATTCAGAAATGAGGTCTGACCTTAAGCAGTTTAACGTGAGTTTTCCAAGCGACATGAAGCACCTGTAGAATATAAATGCTAAGTGCGCAAAATCCTGGTGCACTGGTGAGAAAAACTGCAAAAATAAGTGATGTGTTAAGGAGAACAGTCTGAAAAAAGTCATTACAACATATGGCAAAGACAGGTAAATTCAGGAGACATAGATAGATAGATAGATAGATAGATAGATAGATAGATAGATAGATAGATAGATGAGGAACTGATGCAAGTCAAAGCTTGTTGATAGAGATAGACAGACAGCTGGAAATCACATCCGAGACCAAAGCGCAGAGATACACAGGCTTGTGTAAGGGGCACAAATCCTGGGCCCCTGAGCAATAGGAAAAGTAGTCTGACCGTTTTACTACCTCTGGAAGGGTTTGCGTGTGGACAAAGGCAAAGGATGCCTTCAAACTTCAGGCTCATTTGGTCTGGACAGCCACCTTGTCCGAGTCATTAGGTTTGACGGTCGCTCTGCATGGTCGTCATAAAAGTCAACACATATATCCCTACAGCGAGTGCAGCACCCTATGGTGCAGACACTACTGCCTCACAATGTCCCTACATACACTGCTAAACAAATTCAAAATTGCTTTCAAGATGACTTCTGTAGGTTTCCTCCTCCGCAAAGTGGAGAATATGGTCCATGGAGCCACACAGGTCAGAACTCATAAAGGGTTGAAGCCTTTCCAAGGAAAAAGAATAGCCTGATACACACACACACACACACACACACATACATATGCATACAAACACATACACACACACACACACACACATATATACATGTATATAATATTTTTGTTTTTCACTTATACATACCATGGGTACACAGAACACAAAGAAGACAAATTGAAAATAAATAGAAATATGAGAAATAAGACCACAGCAGGAAATAAATAGCCTGTAAAAAGCATCAGGGTTGTTCTTTATCAGATTTTAAAATATGAAAAATTAAAAAAAAACGTCAATACACGGAATACTTCGGTATGGGGAAGTGCTGTTTTTAAGCATTCATGTCCAAAACTTTTGGACAAAATTTTTGGGTTCAGTTAGGTTAACACAGCCTACATTTAACCTGCTAAGTGCAATTTGTTATCAGCTGATCACGAAGATGGATTACAGTGATATGACAGATAACAGAAAATAGTGCAGCTATGAGTTAGGGCATGACACCAAAAGTACACAAACTGCACAGGAACTGAATGCAGAACAAGGTGAATTTTGATTTAAGGATTATGTGTATGTTGCTCCGGAACTATGTGATGTCTCAGTCAGGGATCTTTAATGCACGGGTTCACTTGGGCTGCAGCCCAGGGGCTTGTGTTATATAGGGGCTTCAAAAAAGACCCCCTGGTGGTCCTCCAACAACTTTTATCGCTGTGCCTCCCGGGGGCCTTTGGTCTCAATAATCAATCGTCAGACTCACAAAGTGATTCTGCTTGCCCATACATTAGTTTAATGGTAATTCATAACTTAATAGGATAACTTAAAATGACTGCAGTTTAATAAGTGTGAATCTAATAATAAATAATAATATACATTTTATTTATGGGCACATTTCAAGACACGCGAAGTCACCTGATATGAATTAAACCACTTGATGAAATTTTAAAACAATAATAAATCTGAAACTTCATACACAAATTGTTTGAACTGGGGAAAAATACTCTGTTACTGACCTACTGTACTGCTACGGAAATGAGCGACTCGGGGGACGGCGTAATGCAAATAAAAAGGGGGGGCTTTTACTGGGGGGTTAACAGACAGGAGCAGTGAAACAAAACGGGACCAGAAGGGGTCAAAACAGGAAGGCTAGCAAAAGGCAGGGCACAGGTAATGGGAGGAATGACGTCAATGACCGGACTGGCCATGACGAGACAAACAGGTACTTAATGCATAAAGTGTGGCTCATCGGGGCCATTAGAGGGAGGATCCCATAAGGTCGGGCAGACATGGGAGCAGGAAGTGACACCTGCAATTTATTAATGATATTTTACATTTCATTGTTTTAAATTACCTTAGTCTGGGTCTGCCCTTAGAATAGACTTGCCATAAAACAATAATGTACTTTATAAGGAACTGCAGTGTAAGCATTAATTACAGGGCTGCAGAGTTGTGGCTTAAGTCTCACTCATGTGAATTCGGCTCTCTGTTGACGCCGCACCCAATTCATAGAAACAACGCAGCTAATGTCAGGTACTGTCATTGACTAGGGATTTAGTGACAGGAATTGCACTGATAGTATAATATTCAAGCATAAAATGTTCCTGCTGTGTTTGTTGTTTTTCTGGACACACCCTTTGAGTACAGAGGCAGGGGTTGGGAGCAGTGACAGTTGTCCAGGGTGTGAAAGGTTCTGGTTTGCAGTTTCACTTATACTAGAGAGACCAGTGTATCCACCTCCATTTCCTCTGACTGAAGGTATATGGAAAAAAAAAAAAGGGGGGGGGGGGGCTTTACCTACAATGAGAGCTAAGAGTTTGAGTTTACCTAAGCTTACCGGGTATTTACACTGCTTACTCTTCAGTTCACTGCTATATAAATCTGTCACCTGACATCATGGTACTGTACAATATGTGTTTTTTTACTCATTCTATAGCATCTCTTCAAGGTATCCAGGAGTAATGTGTGCTATTAAAATGAACTAAGACACACACCCTAATTGTTTCAACATAAATGCAATACTTTTGTCTTGGGTATGTATGGAGGGTTGGTGTCATCAGTGACCCACAGGTCTGGGCACGTCATTTAATGAGGAGGATTTGATGCAAGTTTCTTCTCGCAGCAGGATAGCAACACATTTGCGTAACACCCCCGCTCTGAAAAAGGCAGTAGCCTTGCAAACTGCCTCCACCCCCTGCCAAATGACTCAAAGTGGCACTGCGCCAGGGTGAAAGACGAAAAAAATGCTTACAAGAAGAAATATGCCCAGTGGTGCAACCAAAAAATATTTTGCAATAATTTTTTTCCATTGAAAACCTTCATAAAGTAATTACTTAAGTGTCTACAGGGCATCAAATATCGTCGTTAAATGTCTTTTGCATTTATGATCAGCAGTAATATTAACTGCGGATGTGCCACTTGACTTTTTAAGCTCATTTAAAAAATTTAAAAAAAGACATCTGCTTGGACACCTTTAGTTTATATATACAATTATAAAAACAAAGACTTTTATTGTATTACAGTATTTTCATGGATTGTACCACCTGACGTGGAAACTGCCAGGCCATCCACGTGTTGAAAATGGTAATTTTTGTCAATATTTGACTTAGATCTACTGACTTTTTCACTGCACCATGAAGAACACTTGGTGTCGTCTTTACGATGTAACATTTAGTCAAAAGCGACATTTAGATTAAAAAAAACCTTTTTCCTTTGAATACCGCGGAATTTCACAATAAAAGTCCTGAAAGGCTCTAACGTTCCTGTAGTGGACCTGCTTCACAGACAAATGTTTTTCAGTTCTCAATGGTTTTAGAGCCAAAGTGTTTCGCAACTTTGTATAAGTTCAAAGGTTTCAAGCATTGAATTATGCCTAACTAATTAATTACATTTTCAAAATTACTGAAATATCAATTTTATTAGTTTTCATTTGTTCGAACAGCTGCACACCCTGGCATTTTTGGACTTTGGAATAAAAAAAGGCAAAGCTGTATTGTTTGAATGCATTGAAAATATTTCCTTATTAAAGAGGTCTCATATAATAATGTCAGGCATGCTATGTATTAAAGGATTAAAAAATAATGGACTTGGGCACAAAAATATACGTTATGTCATTCGCTCGCCAGCCATTTGTTTTCAGATATAAACCTAAACAATTAAAACGTTAAATAAATGCTAGTCTGCATCAGACAGGTTGAAGAATGTTTTTTATTTAAAAAAAAAAAGACAAAAAAATGGCGGTCTGTGTGTGAAATCATTGTTAAATCATTAGCTGCTTTCAGCAAAAATAGTCGCTGAGGTTCACAGACAGTGAGCGTAAAGAAAAAGATCTCCCAATTGAGGAATGGAGACCTCTGAATGTAACACGAGAGCGCAGCATAAACGACACATCATTCAGGGAAGTAAGGCGTGTGAATGAAAACACTGCAGTTTATCTTTATGACTGTGGGAAATAATGAGGAATCGATGCTGCCAGATGCTTGGGTTTGCACAGTTGGTGAAGCGGACTGAAGCACAGCAAACAGGAGGTGCTCGCAGAGGAATGGGGAACGCATGGCCGAGACGAACAGACCGCGCCAGTTACTGTTATCCGGTTTTACAGCATGTTATAGTGAGACTGTCAGTCCACACTGTCACTGCCTAGGACAATGAGTACCTGGATGTTTATCCGTAAAAAATTTTGGATGCTGAAAGGCAGCCTTGCTGGTAACAAGCTCAGCACAGAGGTCAGTGCTGTGAATTTGTTGTAATTAAAATGTGAAGTTGGGAAAAACCCTACAGCTCCCGGTGTTGACTTTTGCTCATACGCCTGTTTCAGTGAACAGTCGAGCTCTCCTTCCTGTCTGCCCATGTATCCCCCCGCATTTCTGCTCTTGACTTCCTTTCCCTTCCCATGATGCCTTTCTAGGCACAGGAGAGAGCGGAAAGACCACCTTCATCAAACAGATGCGAATCATCCATGGGAGCGGCTACTCCGAGGAAGATCGCCGGGCCTTCACGAAGCTGGTCTTCCAGAACATTTTCACTGCTGTTAAGGCCATGACCAATGCAATGACCACACTCAAAATCCCCTACGACAACCCTGACAACCAGGTGTGAATTTGCAGACCTCATGACTGCACACACACATCTGTGGCTGTAGTTATTGTTTCATCTATCCATCCATCCATGTATCAGTACAGGGTCATGTTGAGCCTTGAGGCTGTCTCAGGAGGCACAAGGCAGTGAGCAGGGAAAACCTTAGGTGGGATAGCGGCCGTTGCTGGTCACATACACAGTTGTATACTATGGGAAATTCAGAGATGCCCATCACAGTCATTGATTAGATTATATTTACATTTCATTAGAGGCACCTTGACTTTCTGTACCTATTGCTTGATGTGATAAAATAATCCAGCCAAGCGATATCCAGTCTAAAGAAAGTGTATTTTTTCTGCCTAAGACTTATGGAAAGAGGAAATGCTTTGCTAAGTGGGTGACACTTGTTCTGTTGATGAGGTAGATAAAGTTATATTATTCAGAATCAAAATCTATATTACCACATGACCAAGACCAGTGAAAATGTTTGCTGGTATAGCTTGCTGCTGTTGGAGATACCATAACAATAGACTAACAATTAGGACATAATACAGACCGAGAATAAATGCAAGACTCAAAATACCCAACAGAGTAAATGCAAGGCATGTGACAAATACAGCGGTTTGAGTATATCCGAGTACTTCAAATGCAACCGCGATTTCTCCAAACAAATACCCAGACTTCTGCCTATTTGGGCTTCCAGGTGTTAGCTCAGCGGCTGCAGGAGGCAGACACCCTGCAGCTCACCAAGCTGGATCGGCGCCACGTCGACGCCATCCAGCGCCTCTGGGCTGATTCCGGCCTCAAACTTTGCTACAGCCGGCGCCGCGAGTACCAACTACTAGACTCTACTGAGTAGTAAGTAACGGGGCTCTGCCACCTGATCTGGAGGGCAATACGAAGCACGTTATTCTATAAACAACAAGGAATGTGTGGCAGTCAGCTTGTGACAGCAACAGAAAATAAGCCTTGAAAACTGAAGGAACTGCATGAATCAGACTTGTTACGTTGCTCCTTAATAGTTAGAGGAGTGTTACATGTTGGACATGCAGGTGAATCTTCACTTGTAAAAAAAAACACATGAATCACAAGATGTGAAGGTGTTACTATGGCAGTCAGGCAGTAAAACCAGAAATATGTAATGTACTGGAAAACACCAAGTGGAAGCTTAGATAGAACAACCAACAAGATAGGAGAAACACCAACAGGACAGAACAAACACCAACAGGACAGAACAAACACCAACAGGAAGGAAGCTTAGATAGAACAACCAACAAGACAGAACAAACACCAAATGGAAGCCTAGAGCTGTGAACAACCGCAGCTTTATTTAAGATCAATGAATAGGCATTTGTTTGAGAAATGAATATATATATATATATATATATATATATATATATATATACACACACACACACACATATATACACATACGTGCAGTCAACTTGGTTTGCGAGTGTTTTGAAAGACAAACAAAATTTTTAAATAAATTTTAACTCTATAAACAAGCGAGGTCTTGCAATACGAGTATTATGTATACGCTTTGTCTGCCTAGTGTCACGTAATCACTGAGCTAATGGTTCGTCTCTCTCTCTCGCTGCGGGATTGTGGGTAACCATCTCCCTTGCTCAGTCTCAGTCGGCGTGCCTCACTGGTATAGTTAAAATTCAGTAGAAAAGCACCACCCGAATAAGGGTGTAGCAGTGCGAGCAATGAATCTGTTTAACAACAATGCAATGTCCACATTTCCATGAAATCGAAAAGAAGGCAAAAGCGGCTGTCATTGGATAGGTTCCTTGTTAAAGTCGCACAAAAAGAAAAAGATTCCAGTGAGCCAACAGATAGCAGTGATTCCGTTATAATGAAAGTCGTCCTACAAAATAACCCTCCTCCTTTCTCTCGTCTCCCTCACACCATCCACGATTCTTTTCAAAGGTAAAATGCAGGTTAATTTGTTTTATTTTACTTTATATTTTGTATTAATCATTTTTGTATGAATGTTTTTGGCCTGGGGAGTGAGTCATCTGAGTTTCCATTATTTCTAATGGGAAAATTCTCTTTGATGTACGAGTGCTTTGGGTTACGAGCAGGTTTTCTGAACGAATTATGCTATATATATATATATATGCGCGTCCCCTAGGCCAGTCGAAAATGAATAGATGTATTGTACATGTCCATCTTATGCTATACTGACTCAGACCACAAGATGGCGAGCAAGCCTAATAAACAGGCATAGATAATGGTCATTGTTGGAGGAGTCTCAAGATCAACCAGGTGTGCTTCAGCTGAACAAGAATAAAAATGTGCTTATCCTTTTGATTAATTAGTAATGCTGAAATCACTATCCATTTAATCCATTTGTAAATAACGTATTTAAAATAGTCCAAGAACCATTTTTATACTAATATAATTTTTTTTTGGATGTGTGTAGGTATGTGTAATAATTCTCGATTTTATAATGCTGGTACCAATAAAATGTTTGAGTGTGAGATTCTGTGAATGATGTGAGTAATGTATAATGTAAACGTAGAATCTAATAAGTATTTCTTCTCTTGATAGCTTTATGGCTAATTTAGGACGAATGGCAGCTCACGAATACATCCCTACCGATCAGGATGTGCTGCGGGTCCGAGTGCCGACGACCGGCATTAACGATTATTCGTTCACCGTGGACAAGATTTCCCTCAGGTAAATCGGGGATCCTCACTCTCGACGGCGTAGCGATGACTCGAATAGCTCAGCAATAACACGAATTCACACGTATTCATCCATACTAAGTGTAAGAGTAGCACCTGAAGTACTCTGTATTTTATTTTAATATGTGTGGCATAGCTGAGCGGTATACAAATCATAACCAGAGATATTATGCTGCTGCTCTTTCAACACACAAAGGGACGTCACAGTACTCTCAGACTGAATATATTATATTACATTATGTTGTTAAATTGACACGAGTGTCTGTGCTGTTGCACTCGGGGAACTAATTATGCCTCTCAGGTAGATGTTAATGTATTTATTTACAGGATAGGGGCCTAAAGTGGCCACACGATATGACACTTGATGCGATTAGCACTTACAATCGTTTCAACTGGAAGTTCAAGAGGCTGGATAAAGCTAAACGTTAAAACTACGATAACGCTATAAGCATTACTTCGTGTAGTGAAGGGTGAGTCTATATGTACACATGTACGTATATTTAGTCTATATGCAGTTAAAGATATCCCATCGTGTTTGCTGTACCACCTTGAAGTAGCAATTTATTTCTATTATTTTAACCAAAAGGTAATAGTTCTGCAGTGTATCAAAGGAACAGTAGAGTGAGCGTCAGACCCTCTAGGTACTTAACGTAGCATAAGGCACTTGTACTTTACAATTTGCGAAGACACAGTTTGGGAAAAGCAGGTTTGGTGCCTGACAGCAGGAGAGAAGAGAGCCGTCACGCCGCGGGTAGGAGGGACAGTCCTGTCAGGCTGTGTCAGAGAGCCGAAAGTACCGCAGACACTGTCAGTTAATTAAGCAAGAAGAGCAGCTGCTTCATCAAGACAAGACCGTCACCATCCTGCTACCGATAAAGGGTTTGCCCAGCGTACACCTGCCAGGTCGGCGTGCCCCGTGCCGCGACAGGTGCCCCGCTGTGGCACCGGGTTTTGCAGAGCCCATTACTGAATCGTTATCGGATTTGGACTTTAATGATACCTCGGGGTGTTTTTCTGCCGTAAAGGCGATTATATATTTATACACGGAGCGCCGAGCATGAGAAGGTCAGCTGCAGGCAGGTGAGGTTCACAGCGAGCGGCACGTTTCTGACCAGTCTGTCCGTGGCGAGGAGCTCGGCCGAATTAATTAGCCGGAGGGGGGAGGGTGCTATCCTCAATTCTGCTGCTAAATTTAACTGCTTAATGCTATTTTGGTTCATTTAAGCAAATAATAACGGGGCCACCAGAAAACATTTTAATCTAATACAAAGAAAACCTGGTGTGATTCCAACAACCAAAAAAAGGGATGAACTGATTTATAAAATAATTAGATTATTTAGAAGAAAAAAAAAAAAAAAAAGAGTACAGCATATAAGCCATGTTCATATTGAATTACATAGATTTTAATGGGAATTACTGTTATTGTTCCGAAATGAGAATAGTACAGAAAGTAAAATTTAAAAACTTGCACACAAAATAAATTTAACTGTTGATCTAACTCAGGGGTCACCAACCTTTTTGAAACTGAGAGCTACTTCACGGGTACTGAGCCATAGGAAGGGCTGCCAGTTTGATACACTCTTCTTAAATAACAAATTTGCTCAGTTTACCTTTAGTTATATATTATTATTAATGATTAATGATACTATATAAATGCAAATGTGATTAAAGAAGAATAGCAACAGGATATAATTACATTTTAGACGCTGCTCACTGGTGAGTTGTGCTATTTTTAGAACAGGTCCGCGGGCGACTCCTGTGGTCCTTGGGGGCGTCCTGGTGCCCGCGGGCACCATGTCGGTGACCCCTGATCTAACTCATCAGCGCACTGGTGCACATATTAATGGCTGTTTTATAGTGGTCAGCTCCAACTACGCTGCAGATATTTGGAGTTAAAATGCTTCACTTTAATTCCAGCTTTAATATTATATGAATTGATGTTCAAACATGCTGAGGTGAATTAGAGTTACCACACTTCCTGGGTGTGAATGGGATGTGTGGCCTGTGATTGGTTGGCACCCCGTCCTGGGTTATTCCCTGCTTTGCACCTGTAGCCTTCAGGCTCCGCAACCCTGCATAGGACATACAATATAGAGGGTATAGAATATGGTCAAATAATGTAAAAAAAAAAAAAAAAGCTATAGGTTGCCTATGCCTGTATCAGACTGCAGTACCCAAGTCCGCATTTTCTTGGTCATTTACAAAAAACGTCAATTGACCGCCACAACTGCTGGACTTGTACATTCATCTAGCCAGTAGATGGCACTGTTTTGCAAATACCCAAGATATATCTAAAGCAGTATTGATGTACGGTGGTTACAAGTTATCATGTTATATTGTAATATAAAGCAATAAAAAAATCTGCACTGTTTGATGAACTGTAGAGGATTTTGTAGCAGGGTGCCTGCTCTCCACTGCCTGCTGATAATCCCCCCCCCCCCCGAATGACTTCCTCCCTCTGCAGGATAGTGGATGTGGGAGGGCAGAAATCGGAGCGCAGGAAGTGGATCCACTGTTTTGAAAATGTGACCTCTCTCATCTTCCTGGCCTCCCTCAGCGAATATGACCAAGTTCTGGAGGAGAAGGATACGGATGTGAGGATCTGTTTCTGTTCCTATGTCCCTTCCAGTAGGGCCCCTCTGGAACCTTACCTCTTTTTCTCTTCACTTCACTTCAGTTGAATTCAGTTCAGTTCAGTTGAATTCAGTTCAATTCAAATGTATATAGTGCATTTTCACGATATTACATTGTTTTGCTATATGGTCTCTCTACACTAGTTTTCCATCTGCTTGTCATTCTGAGCCCCCCCGTGTCAGGATGAATAAGCCGTTTATCTCTCCCCACCACTGTTCTATCTCCTTCTTGCTCATTAACCTTAACTGACCCCCCCCACCCCCCACCCCCCACCACCTTTCAGAACCGCATGGAGGAGAGCATGGCCCTCTTCTACACCACCATACACTCACCCTGGTTCCTCCGTGCCTCCGTCATCCTCTTCCTCAACAAGAAGGACATCCTCGCCGACAAGATCCGCACGTCTGATCTGCACACGTACTTTCCCAGCTTCACAGGTAGCCAGATGCCAATACATTCATCTCCTGGATTCAATTAATGGGCCAGTAGAAACCCTCTGACACAGAGAGAACGTGAGAGGAAACAGATTAATTCAAGTACAGCTCATCCCACTGAAAGGTCAGAGCATCCAGATTGTACTGAAGCACTGAAGCATCTTTAAAGATCCAACACAATGGGCTTTCTCTGGAGTTTTTTTTCTTTTTTTACAAATAGTAAAATTCTAGGTACTATTACAAGCTCTATAGTGGTGGAAAGTGTTAATGTTTCCCATTGTGTGTATTACCTTTTCAGGCTAATATGAGCATCAATGATATATGGGTTACTGTGTTACTTTGCAAGGGTAACTTCCATATTTGTATCTGGAGATAGTGACAGGGTGCAAGTACAGAATGCAGACAGATGATCTTACTGTGAATGGCAGCTGATTCACCAATCAGACTCTAGTACCCATACTGTGAACAAATCAGACTCTGGTACCCATCAGCTCCACTTAAGGTGCCTTCCTCTGTTGCCCATGGCAACCAGATGTACCCAGCTCTGCACAACACCAGATTCTCAGGGGAGAAGGGCTGTTGCCCTCCATTTGACTGTGCTGCAGGTGGAATAAGTTAAAGACTTCTTTATATAATCTCCATTAATAATCCCATGTAATTTAATTTTGAGTTTGGCGAGTAGGCTGTACATCTAGCTGTATAAAAAAAGGTTGACTTGGCATTTTTGCAAACTCCTCTGTTTAGTTTTAATAAGACTCTCCAGCTTCATTCATGCTCGCTATCAGTTCCCCCGCAGTTTCATATGTCACATATTCTGTAGCTCTTTTATTATTCTTTTGGAAACACTTTTTACTTAAGGCCATGTTTTAAATAATTTCTAATCACATTCATAATGCATTACAATGCTATCATAAAGCATTATGAACATGGCTATAAATATTCATGAAAAAGCATAACACATTATAACCATGTTTATTATGCATTATAACTGCCTTATGAAGCTCTTATCTATAATGCACTATAGATACCTTCATAATGCAGTACAAAGCATCCTTAATGCTATGCTTATGCTGACCATTATAATACATTATAAAGGTATCTATAGTGCGGTATAGATGAGAGCTTCATAAAGCATTCTGCCTTTTGATAAATATTTATAGCCATGTTTTTATGCTTAATGAATGCATATTATAATGCACGATGAATGTGTTTATAAATGACTGAAGACACGGCCTTAAGCAAGGTTTTACAGACACCTTTATATAATCTCCATTAATAATTTCATTAAATTTAATTCTGAGTTTGGAGAGTAGGCTGTACATCTAGCTGTATTAAAAAAAAGTTGGACTTGGCCTTCTTTCACACTCCTCCATTCAGTTTTAATAAGACTCTTCAGTTTCATTCATGCTCGCTATCAGTCCCCCCGCAGTTTCTTATCTCACATATTTTATTGCCGTTTCTTCCTTCCTTCTCCAGGACAGAGACAGGACCCCCTGGCAGCCATGAATTTCATAGAGAGGATGTATATCCAGCAGGCAGTGAACAGGGAGAACAAGGACGAGAAGAACAAGACGGTGTACCCGCACTTCACCTGCGCCACGGACACGCAGAACATCCGCAAGGTGTTCAGCGACATCAAGGACACGGTACTCATCAAATCCTTGGAGGAATACTATCTCCTCTGAGGCCCATGCTGTCGTTCGCCTGGGGAAAAGGCTCCAGGTTTCCAGAAGATCAGCGGCACCAGCACGATCCAGCATGCTTGAGGGGTCTGACTGAGTCACGGACCGGGACCCCAGAGGCACTGGGTGATCAGTTTCTGTTTCCTACCTGAGGAGGACCTCCCCCGTATGAGCGACCACGAGAGCCCCAGCTCTGAAGCTGACTGTCCAGAGTCGGGCCTCGACTCATTACACGCAGGAGAGGCCTTAGAGAGAACCTCTATCTCTCCATTGTCTGCTGCCATGTGAGAAGTGCCAAGGAAGAGCACTTTATGTAGATTGTGACCTTTGCGAGCTGCATAGATGAAAACTTCAAGCCTGTCCATCATCCTTATAATACCGAATTGATGAGAAAATCATTGTAAATTAAAACATGAACTACACCACTTACAACTCAGCTCTTTGCAAGGACCGAAGTGTCAGATGGGGAACTGCAATTGACTGCTCTGCTCTGTCATCCACTTGTTTGGATGGTGTCCATTTTGTCATATTCCACCAGTTTTTATTTTTTAGGCCAAGCTACCAAAATCACCAGCAATGACATGGAAGCTGAACGACACTAGTGAAGTAGAGTTCAAAGAGCTAAATAAAATAAGCTGGTTCAAGGTTTTGATGACGTGAAAATCATACCAGTAAACACTATTACATCATGGATAGCACTGTGAGCCCATTTAGACGGTTCATGTGTCGTGTTAAACACAGCGTGTCTCACAAACTCTGGCTCAGTGCTGGCCTGATCTTCGCAGAACCATTTCCTGCAACATCATTGAGTTGAGCTGCTATCGCTATTCTTTTACTACTCAGTGATTAAACCCTGGGTATGTGGAACACGTATTTACAGCTTTCTTTGACATTTTCACGTGAATATTGTATTAGTACATTCTGCATGGGTAATATGTTTTGCATATTTGACAATGGGAAGTGGAAGGAATTTTTGTGATCCCGAAGATTTCTTGTGATGGGGATGATGTCAAGAAGACAATTGTGGTATTAAAATTTTAAGTGTATTGTCTGATACCTCAATCATGGAGTGAACTGCTTTAATTGATCTGTATCCTGAAACTGAAGGTAATCAGCGTCTTTTAAAATGATTTTTATTGTACGTTTGTCATACAGCAGTCATACACATCGTAGTATTTATTACCATCAATGCCGTTTCAGCCCCCTGCTTTTCTGCGTGGTCTGTGAGTCCTGTAGGAAAGTATGTTCGTCTCTCTCACAGTAGTGTATATGCATAATACTGAAAGCTATGACTTTCATACAGCAGAACAATACTAGATTGATAATTTTGGAAGAACACCTCAGATACCCTGAGAATGTGCAGTTTGGAGTTTTGTTGGTGAAATCCAAGAAGACAGGTCTTTCAAGCAAACAGGATGAGTAACATTTTTCCCAAGCTCAGACACTGAATGTATGCAGTTTAACAAGAGGTCTGTCAAGCTTTTCTTTTCCTGGATAAGAATTAAAGCTTCTGGACAGATATTAAGAATTCAGAGTTTGAGCCTGAGGGGGAGCATGATATAAAACGACTTGTGATACACATCTTATCACTCAGTTCCAGAGTTTTAGACTTTCAGAGCGTTCCTGAAGGTTGTGAAGTAAGCCGTGCCTTTATGATGTATGTACTGCATTGATCTACAATATTGGATCTATGTTTTCAAGCTGTGTGCTATTTCTTCATTTATCCAATTATAATTCATAACTGGTTGTTTTTTTTCTGGCTAAACCTTTCAGAATATTTAACCACAGTCATCCATTAAAATGCTATAAATAAACTGCTATAAATGATATCCGTGCAAATTGTTACTTTTATGCAATTTTCCCCAGCTACTGTTATTCGTAGCTGGTGTTTCTGAAGTCATCACTGGAGACGTTTGACTTTAGATAAGCAAGCTGAAACAGAACCTCTTTTCTGTTATGCAAATATCCCAGTAACGCATCATAAATACGTTTTATGCAATGCGTTCCTGCAGCCAGTAAGGAGCTCCTCTCCTGTCTGAGTCACATCATCTCCTGTCCGTTACTCTGGTAAAAAAAATAAGATTTTAAGATCATAAGGCTCCGGACTCCTATGACCCTGCATAGGACTAATGGGTAGATGGATGGATGGATGGATGGATGAAGGATTATATGTCCATTAATTATATGAAAATGAAGTTTCTCCACACTGATGTTTGGGCAAAAAGTAAGTTGCCTCAGCAACTGCAAACTGTTCTGTATTTTCAACAGTATATTACCATCTGGAAGAAACAGTTCCTGGCATCAGACCAACTGTCAGACTACAGCCGTAGTCAAAAGTTTTGAGACCGACACAAATATTGGTTTTCACAAAGTTTGCTGCTTCAGGGTTTGTAAATGTTTTTGCTAGATGTTTATATGATATACTGAAGTATAATTGCAAGCATTTCATAAGTGTCAAAAGCTTTTGTTAAGAATTACATTAAGCTTATGCAAAGAGTCAATATTTGCAGTGTTGGCCCTTCTTTTTCAAGACCTCTGCAATTCCCCCTGACATGCTATCAATCAACTTCTGGGCCAAATCCTCACTGAGCCCATTCTTGCATAATCAATGCTTGGAGTTTGTCAGAATTTGTGGGTTTTTGTTTGTCCACCCACCTCTTGAGGAATGACCACAAGTTCTCAATGGGATTAAGGTCTAGGGAGTGTCCTGGCCATGGAACCAAAATGTCGATGTTCTGTTCCCCGAGCCACCTGGTAATCACTTTTGCCTTATGGCAGAGTGCTCCATCATGCAGGAAAAGGCATTGTTCATCACCAGTCTGTTCTTGGATGGTTGGGAGAAGTTGCTCTCAGAGGATGTTTTGGTACTATTCTTATTTCATGGCTGTGTTCTTAGGTTCTTCAGCAAAATTGTGAGTGAGCCCACTCCCTTGGCTGAGAAGCAGCCCCACACATGAATGGTCTCAGGATGCTTTACTGGCACGACACAGGACTGATGGTAGCGCTCACCTTTTCTTTTCCGGACAATCTTTTTTCCGGATGCTCCAAACAATCGGAAAGGGGATTCCTCAGAGAAAATGACTTTACCCCAGTCCTCAGCAGTCCAATCCCTGTACCTTTTGCAGAATATCAGTCTGTTCCTGAATGTTTTTCTTGGAGAGAAGTGGCTTCTTTGTTGCCCTTCTTAACACCAGGCCATCCTCCAAAAGTCTTCGCCTCACTGTGCGTGCAGATGCACTCACACCTGCCTGCTGCCATTCCTGAGCAAGTTCTGCACTGGTGGTGCCCCGATCATGGAGCTGAATCAACTTTAGGAGACGGTCCTGGCGCTCGCTGGACTTTCTTAGGCGCCCTGAAGCCTTCTTCACAACAACTGTACATCTCTTCATGGAGTTCTTGATGATCCAATAAATGATAGGTGCAATCTTACTAGCAGCAATATCCTTGCCTGTGAAGTGCTTTTTGTGTAAAGCAATGATGACTGCACATGTTTCCTTGCAGGTAACCATAGTGCAGGGGGTATCTCAAACTCTCTCCTTCATCATTAGCATCTCCAGCACTGAGGCCGATGTGATACACATCTCTAAGCACTGCCAATGATCTGTATATTAAAGATACATATATAGCAACTACTAATGGTATATGATTCACCCCTATCGTAATGCAGCGCAATAACACATAATTTGATTCAACGCAATGCGATTCAACGTGCTACGATGCAAAAGAATATGATGCTATACAATTCAGTATGGCACAGATACAGAAACAGTTTTGATGAAGATGATGAAGTTGCTTTTTCATCATACTTCACCAATTAAACGCGAGCACCTTCCAGCTGAGCTGTCAGCTCGCCACACTAGACCTGACCTGCTCATCTCCGATGATGCTGTACAGAGATGGGTCTGACATCCTCCAGTGGTACCGGGATACAATGCTGCGTCTGCGAGATCCCATCAAACGAAGTGGCCCGTCAAGGTTTCCACGACCCACTACATCAGATGCTCTGATAATTCCTAGTCTGAAAGGTCTGAAATCGAAATCTCATCCATTTTTGTCCTTGGTGCCAGCACGATGGGACTGGCTTCATCCGAGCATCAGGCACACAGAAGCCGTCCTCTTCAGAAGGTACTTAAAAGGCAGAGTTTGACTTCGGATGAAAAGTTTTGGTTGTTTTTTTTTTTTTTTTTTTTAAAGTTTAAGTAAACCCTAGTCATGTTTACTAAGAAATGTTTGATAGAAAAAAATGCATAATCTGTAGTATATGTATTTTATTTTTTATTTATTTATTTTTAAAATATTCCCTCCACCACCCCCCTCTGCGGAGGACTGCTTTATTTCAATTTAAATATTTATTTATTCATCTATTTATTTATTTATTTACTTCCTCAAGAGAAGGGAGAGAGAGAGAAAAAAAAAATCTGCTTCACTGTCTGCTGAAGAGAGAAAACAACAACCAACATCTGAACGAATCACATCGAAAATCAAACGTTAAATGTTATTGAACAGCACACACACCCAGCATTACAACACATGCCCAGAAGCAACAGCCGATCAAGACAGCGCGCGTCCATGAACACCTGTCCGCACACCTGTGTGTGTCAGTGCGCTGGTGTTCATAAGGTTTCTCTCCATGTAAATGTCTAGTAGTGTGTGTGGGGAGCCACAGCCTCACCCGCCCAGGACATGAAGCTGACATGGAGGAGACCCGGGCCCCAGACATCCAGAGGCCCCCCAGGGCACAGGAACCCCAGGAGGACCACCGCAGGGACAACTGCAGCCCCCACCCAGAAAAGGGCAGAGGAGCGCTCCGGAGGGGGGCCATCCGGCAGCCACAACGCAGGAGCCCCAGGGAGCCGTGGCGGCGAGCCTGCAGGCTCCGTCGGCGGCCGGCCACACCAGGGCAGACCGGAACCCGGGCCCAGAGATCCAAGGGCCCCCCCACCCCCCAGCCGAGGCCCGACAGAGCCGGGAGGGCCAGGCCCCGCCAGGCAGCCGCCGAGAGTGAGCCAGCACACACCAGAGCATCCGGCCCCGGACATCGAGAACCACCAACGCATCGGCAGCCGGGGGGCCCATCCACCGGCAGGGAGTGTGGCGGGGGGGAATAGAGCCTGAGATGTTATTTCACATGCGTATAGACAAACAGGCGCACACATACACAAGCATACGTTCCCACCCTCATGCACACATGTTTTGATAGAAAATGAAATTCTGTTCTGCTGAAATGGATCTTAGAGGTAAACAACATATGAAAATATATCTAAATAAAATATAAGCAAAGGTGTTTTGACTGATACAGAAAGGCTTACCAGGTAAGCAGTCAACTGTTAGAACTAAGGATTTTAAAACCAGGTATTTTGGTAATATATATTTTTTAGTTATTATTCCATGAAAGATAAGATGTATTAAGGAGTCTGCATTTTGGACAATGGCTTCCCCAGGGAAGACTTGTGGGGTTAATGCATTAAACAGACACTGGAATACAGGCAGTGCAGCTCGTCAATTGTAAGCCAATCAGCTTTAATGAAAGAGGAAATACATTTACACCAATTCATGACCTTTATTGATAAAAGAATTCAATTTCTGCCAAGCAATGACTCATTTCCAGTTTATCAATTGTCTGCTAAAGCTTCCCGTAGCTGGGTACACCACATAGTCAAATTGTTATTATTTCTTCATTTGCATATGACTTACAATGTAGATTGTGGTTATTTCACAAGTAATTTCAAATAAAACCGTTTCTATCTGTTCAATGTCAATAAGTGTAAATTGTAAGTATTGTAGTGCTGATACTGTATAAAGCAAAATGGGATCCAGCTGCTCTTGTTTTGTCACGATTATTCAACCTCTCCATATATAATATTGCTGTTGTTAAAACCTTCTGCTAGTTTTCATGGCCTGAAGTGGCGTTCAAACATAACTAACCTTCTGGGGATGCTGTAATTATCCTTAATGTGCTTCAGGTTTGAAAACCCCACCCATCACCGTGGTGAAGGTGAACTGCAGTCGTGCTTAAGACTAAGGAGCTTCCGCAAATGCTGAGAGAAGAAATCACTTCATTGCACCTGGAGGGCAAGGGGTGTAAGAAGATTTCCTGAAAATGTAACATCCCTAAAGACACCATTAGAAGCACCATAAGGAAGTTTAAAGCTTAAGCCTGAGGAAGCTCAAAACTTCATCAAGAACCCTTAGCAACTTAATCAGGCCCATCCCTGTGTTACTGCGAAACAAGCATCAGGATGACCTGATGAAGGCTGGCACACGTGTGTCAGTGGCGAAAAGAACAACACTAAACAAACAAGGGCCACATGGCCAAACTCCACTCTTGACCACAAAGAACATCAAAGGTCAACTAGAATATGCCAGGAGGAATCAGGATAGTCCTGCAGAGTTTTGGGAGACAACTCTATAGACTGAGGAAACTAAACTGTAACTATTTGGATGCAGAGACCAACGTTATGTCAGACATAAAAAAGACCAGGCTCATGACCACAAGAATATCATCCACACAGTCAAGCATGGAGGTGGGTCATTGATATTGTGGGGATGGGTTTCTGTTGCAGGAACTGGCAGTCTTGATTGGTACCCGGCATCATGGATTCCCAGAAACACCAGACCATTTTAAAGAGGAACACAATGCCTTCTGTTGGGAAACTGATCCTTAGTGATGAGTGGACTCTCTAGATCCCAAACACAACTCCAACCCAGCCGAGATCCTGGAACGTCCTTTTCAGTCCCCAGATTTAAATCCCATTGAGAATCTTTGGGGAGATTTAGAGAAGGCAGATGCAGCATGAAAGCCATCAAACATCAAAAACTGGAGGGTT